CATTCTCTGAGCTGTTGTTTGGTACTTCGTATTAGCACCACTGTAGATGATTTAGAGCTTTTAAAATGTTTTGCCATCCCAAATAATGATGTTCTCCTTGGCGCCTCCATGTGTGCTTCTATAGGGCAAAGACCAAGACGTGTGATTGCATCTTTAGTTGTTTTTTGTTTTTTTTTTTTTTTGTGACAAAGTCTTGCTCTGTCACTCAGGCTGGAGTGCAGTGGCATGAGCTTGGCTCACTGCAGCCTCCACCTCCCAGGTTCAAGTGTTTCTCATGCCTCAGCCTCCAGAGTAGCTGGGACTGCAGACACCCACCATCACGCCCAGCTAATTTTTTGTATTTTTAGTAGAGATGAGGTTTCACCATGTTGGCCAGGCTGGTCTTGAACTCCTGACTTCAGCCTCCTAAAGTGCGGGGATTACCGGCGTGGGTCACCGTGCCTGGCCACATCTTTAGTCTTAATGCCACTGCCAGTTGCCCTGCAGAGTGCCTGTGCTGAGTGAAGCTTCTGAGTGGGGCCTTAGAGCACCATTTTTCTGGCCCCGCGGTCTGCCTGTCACTGTCACTATCTGAATTCCCCACTGTAACTCCTGGAAGGCAGGAAGCACTTTCTTTGCACCTTCGTGTCCCAGAGCTCAGCTCAGGGCCTGGCAGAGATCCCAAGCTGTGCACCTCCTTTCTTCTCTGTCCACATCCTCCCCTTCTTTTTGAGACAGGGTCTTCTCTGTCACCCAGGCTAGAGTGCAGTGGTGGGACCATAGTCCATTGCAGCCTCAACCTGCTGGGGCCAAGCCATCCTCCTGCCTTATCCTCCCGAGGAACTGGGACTACCACCAGGCCTGGCTAGTTTTTATTTTTTGTAGGGACAGGGTCTTGCTGTGTTGCCCAGGCTGGTCTCAAAGTCCTGGGCTCAAGCAATCCTTCTGCCTCGCACCCAAAGTGCTAGGTTTACAGGCTGAGCCACTGCGCCTGGCCCACAGCCCTCTCTGAACAGCTGGGCTGTGACAGCTCGCTAGGGACAACCTCGTGGCCACGGTGGACTGGATCACAGAGGACCCTGGAAGTTGGGCAGGCAGCTTAAATGGGCGGCCGTTGGAGCCGAGATTATGGTCAGAGCCCCTTGGGGAAAGCAGACCCTCAGAGTTTGGGGAGGTTTGGGGAGGTAGGCCCTCTGCAGAGAGGAGAGCAGAGACGTGCAGAAAGCAGCGGGAGGGAGAGGAGCAGACCCGCCCCCAGGAGGCCTGGCTCTCATTCTGTCTTTGCAGCAAATCCCCTTTCTTTGGGATGGCCTGAGGTTTCTGTCCCTTGTAGCCAGTCTCCCTGAGACAAAGAACGGCTCCGTGTTTACGGACTTGTTCTCTGGGCCTCTCAGAGCCTGAGCTGGGGTCTCCCAGAGATTCAGGAGAAAGGCCAGAGGCTGGGGTGGAGTCTTCCTTCTTCAGGCATTTCCAGGTATAGGGCCCCGGGGCCGCACGCGCTGTGCCTACCCCCTTGGTGCCACCCCGTGGCTCTCTCTGCTCACCCAAACGTCTTCATGCCTGCTGTCCTCCTGCCAGGTCCCGTCCGAGTGGGCATCTCCACAGTCAGCAAAGTGGTACTAGGCCCCTCCGTAGGCCTTGCCAAAAGACAGTGAGTAATTCACTCCGGAAGCCGGATTGCCCGCGGGGGCATGCATCTTGCCTTCAATCGGTGTGTGCCCGGACCACGCAGCACCGGTGAAGTCGGGGTTCAGGAGTCAGGTGGGCTGGGCCCATCCCTTACCTGTGTGTGACCTTGGGCAAGTCACCTACCCTCCCTGTCCTCTATTTCCTCATCTGAAAGCGGGTATAGTACTGGTTCTCACCATTCGGAGCGGTGGTGAAGCCCCTACCTGTCCTGCGGGGACCATCCCTGAGCTTCAGACTCACGCCCAGTGTCTGCCTGGCGTCCAACAGGCATCTCTGCCGTCACAACCCGCAGCAGAACTCTTGATTTCTGGCCCACCTTCTCCCCAAATCCTACACCCCCTCATCAAGAGGCAGTACAGGCTGAGCGCGGTGGCTCACACCTGTAATCCCAGCACTTTGGGAGGCCGAGGCATGCAGGTCACTTGAGGTTGGGAGTTTGAGACCAGCCTGGCCAACATGGCAAAAACCCGTTTCTACTAAAAATACAAAAATTAAGGGGGTATGTTTGTGGGTGCCTGTGGTCCCAGCTACTCAGGAAGCTGTGGCAGGAGAATTGCTTGATTCCAGGAGGCAGAGGTTACAGCAAGCCAAGATTATGCCACTGCACTCCAGCCTGGGAGACAGAGCGAGATTCCATCTCAAAAAAAAAAAAAAAGGCAGCATAGTCTAGTGACAACATTGTAGAAGCTGGGGTCACCTACTTGCTGTGCGACGCGTAACGGTGGGCAGGTTCATGAATTTTCCAGGCCTTACTTCCCCTCTGAAGCGGGGGCGGTGTTAATGGCACGGCATCTCACAGGGCTGTGGCAAGGATGAAATGAATTCCTGTGTGAAGCACTGAGAATCAGGGTTCACTCCTTCCCTTCCCCCAGAAATGATCCCTCCACCATTCCACTTTCTTTCTTTCTTTATTTGAGACAGAGTTTCGCTGTGTCGCCAGGCTGGAGTGCAGTGGTGCAATCTCGGCTCACTTCAACCTCCACCTCCCGGGTTCAAGCGATTCTCCTGCCTCAGCCTCCCGAGTAGCTGGGACTACAGGCGGGTGCCACCACGCCCAGCTAATTTTTTGTATTCTTAGTAGTACAGATGGGGTTTCACCATGTTGGCCAGGATGGTCTTGATCTCTTGACCTCTTGATCCACCCGCCTCAGCATCCCAAAGTGCTGGGAATACAGGCTTGAGCCACCGTGCCCGGCCAGAATAATCTTTTAAACTCTGAACTGGATAACGTGACTCCCCTGCGCATTCCTGGGCTGGCCCCATTCCTCCCCCGCTGCTGTCCCCTGGCCTCGGCCTATCTCTCCTACTGTCCCCGGGATCCTTCTCTCCTCGCACTTGTGGCCTTGGATCTGACCTGGAGGCTCTGCACTGCTGCCCTCTCTGCCTGGATCCCGCATTTCCTTGGTTTCTCATCTGTGTTTTCACTTCAAATGTTTGGATTTTGTTTCCTGCTCACAGTGCGAGGCCATCAGAGGGAGCTGTGCAGGGGAGTATTAGGAGCTGAGTTGTGTTTTTAAAATATCCTCTGGCTGCTGTGCGGAGGAGGAGTCGGGCTGGCGTGGGGAGCAGGAAGACCGCAACGACAGAGCATTCAACGACAGCCGCACGTATTCCCTGCTCAAGAACGTATCGGCTCTTGTCAGTCACTGCGCTGGATCTTGAAGCAAAGTTGTAGATACAGAAATTGTGGCTGAGTGTGGGCATGGTGCGTCCCAGCTAACCCAGCTGGTCGGTTCTGGGATGGAGGCCCCGGGGGCTGCCTGTGAGTTTATTGCATTCTCTGAACTCATGGATTTCTTCTGGTGGGAGACAGTTACAGGCACAAATGTTCTAATTCCACCTAGAACAATCCATCCCACAGTGGGAGCCGAGCCCCTGGCCTGGAACAACCGAGGAGGGCCAGAGTTCCCCGGTGTGGAGTAACCAGGAAGGCTCCCTGGTGTCAGGGGAGCACACTAAGGGGTTTCCTCCTGCAAACAGGAGTGATAAGCGCAGAGGGCAGAAGGGTGGGAGGGTGTCTCTGGCCAAGGCCAGCAGCAGGGCTGGTGAAGAAGGCTGGGAGGGGCTGGGCGCAGTGGCTCACACCTGTAATCCCAGCACTTTGGAAGGCCAAGGTGAGCAGATCACCTGAGGTCAGGAGTTTGAGACCAGCCTGTCCAACACGGTGAAACCCCATCTCTACTAAAAATACAAAAAATTAGCCGGCCGTGGTGGCTCACAGCTGTAATCCCAGCTACTCGGGAGACTGAGGATCGCTTGAATCTAGGAGGCGGAGGTTACAGTGAGCCGAGATTGTGCCATTGCACTCCAGCCTGGTCAACAAAAGAGAAACTCCGTCTCAAAAAAGAAAAAAAAGAAGGCAGGGAGCCTCGCCCGCCACTAGGGGGAGCCCTTGGACTTCCTCCTCTGGGAGATGGGGGGCTGCCCCTAGATAAACTGGCTGGCTTTCGTCTGGCTGCGGAGGCTCTCAGGGCTTTGAAGCCGCATGCTCCGGAGCCACCTCCAACATTTGCAGATAGAACAGACAGACCCGGTGAGAATCCTGTGCTGCCATTGCTTGGTGGATGACCTTGGCCAAGCAACTTGGCCTTTCTGTGCCTCAGTTTCCTCACCCTGAAGGAAAGAGAGCTCCTTTGGGGTCCAAGCCCCGAATCGGACTCTCACTTCTGTTTGGCCCTCTGGTACGTTCCGTGCGGACTCTCACCCATCAGTTAGGGACTGTGTACCTCCTGTGTGCCAGTGCTGCGCCAGGCCCTGGGTCAGCCACCGCCGCCCCTGCCGCAGGAACAGAAGGCCTGAAGGCGGGGCTCCCAGGTCTCTAAGCTCCCCACGGTTGGGGAGGTGCCTTCTCTGAGCCCACCTCTCACCTTCATTGTGTTCCTCACGAGGCGGGGTCTCACCCACTGCACCGCGGGCTCCTGGGACACATCATCTCTGAATCCCCCGTGGGTTGGCAAACAGTAGGTGCTCACTAGGCACTTGATAAATTGAGTTGAATGGGACTTTGTGTAAACCAGGACAGCACCTGGCTTACCTTGCAGTCTGATGGCCTCCAAGGCAGGGAAGAGACAGCCCGCGACCCCTGGATTTGGACAGGTCTGTGATGGAGGCACTTAGAGTTCTGCTTGGCGAGGCGGTCCACAGGGGCTGCAGTGGGCCTGCAGTGCTGGGCAGAGGAATGTGGGGCTTTGGGCAAGGACGAGAATGGTCAGGTTGGTGTTTTGAGGGGTACCTTGCTGCAGGGTGGAAGACAGATGTGCCAAGCTGTCTGGGAGCAGAGTGGACAGGCAGTTGGTGGCAGGGCCCAAGGCCTTTTTTTTTTTTTTTTTTTTAGCATCTCTGTTCTTTTTAATAATTTCAGAATAAAGTCTCATTTCAGTGCAGTGGCCTGGGTGGTACGGGAGGGGGTTGAAAGCCCCACTTGGGTCCCCGATAGTCCATTGAGCCCTCTCAGGCCAGCTCCAGGAATCCTGGCCTGGTCACAGAGCAGAGTTGTTTGCAGGGTCCTAGTGGCCGTGGGTCCCAGTGGCCATGGGCAAGGCATCATCTCTCAGAGGGTCAGAGGCTCCGAGCTGGTGCAGCTCAGCAGGTCACAGCTCTCCACCGGCTCTGGGCTCTCCGGCACCATGTGGTGGCTGCTTTTCCCCCACCAGGGCCTCAGCTCCAGCAGCTGGTGGGTGAGCTGAGCACAGCGCACAGCAAACACGTTCTCCGCCACGCAGAGCACTAGGGCAATGCCCCAGAGGCACAGGCTGGAACTATAAATGCGTGTGGGGTCGAAGGGACAGTCAGGTGCGAGGGCCAGTAGTTCAGAGCTCCCAAAAGTGCAGGCAGGCAGCAATGCCTTGCCCTGGGTGGCGAAGGTCACGGCTATGGAGGCCAAGAGGCCAAGGGCACAGGTCAGAGAGAGAAGAGCAGAAATTTGGGGTCAGGACAGGTGAAGCGGCCAGAGTACAGGAACCTTAAGGATGGTCGATTGGACTCAGGGGGAAGCATTTTCTGGTAGCCCACGTGGGGATGCCATTAGGTACACGGAGGACCCCTGGGGCCAAACACACTCCTGGGGGCTGATGCTGAGCTCGGCCTTGGATGCTGAGTTTGAGGCACCTGTGGTCCAAGAGGAACACTGTCCAAGAGAGAACAATGGCAGAGGGTTTGGAATAGGACCCCCAAGGATGGAGGGGGGGTCACACCTGAAATCCCAGCACTTTGGGAGGCTGAGGCGGGTGGATCACCTGAAGTCAGGAGTTTGAGACCAGCCTGGCCAACAAGGCAAAATCCCGTCTCTACTAAAAATACAAAAATTAGCCAGGCATGGTGGTGTGTGCCTGTAATCCCAGCCACTCAGGAGGCTGAAGCAGAATCACTTGAACCCAGGAGGCAGAAGCTACACTGAGCTGAGATCGCATCACTGCACTCCAGCCTGGGCAATAGAGCATGATTCTGTAAAAAAAAGAAAAAAAAAAAAAAGAATTGGGGCCCTGGCGGGTGGGGAAACTGGCTGACTCTGTGGATCCTTGTGGCATATTCCCTGGATGTAGAGGTGCCCAGCAGAGGCCCTTGGTATTTCTCTAACCTCGGTTTTGAAGTGATTTGAAAGGGTTTGGGAGTTTACTGTCTTAGCCTTTGACATCCTTATTGGAGCGGGTGAATTCACATGAGAAGCTGGACACCCAGACCCAGCCCAGGACAATCTCAGTGAGCGGGGGACTAGAGATTCCGGACAAAGACTGGCTCTCCCTCAGCGCCAGGTGGTTGAGAAGCCACAGCCAACTCTGTGACCCTTTTTGGGCGGGGCCCTGCACTGCCATGTTTAGAACACATGCTGCTCTGTCTCTCCCCATTTCCCAGAGGAAGAGGCTGAGCTCCAGAACATTCCATTGCTTGTTCCAGATCTCAGCAGCTGCAGACCTGGCCTGAGAACATGGCCTTACAGGATGCCCTGGCCATGTGTGGCCCATCAGCTCTTGTTGCCTTGGGCAGGTAGGTAGATGAAGGATGGAAGGCCAAGCTCAGGCTGGGCAGGTGGTAAAGAAACCTAGTTACACAAAGAGCTGGGACTCTAGGACCAGGGTTCAATCCTGACTCTGGCCCTCTCGGGGTGACTTTGCTTGATGCCTCAGTGGTCCCATCTTCAAAATGGAGATTGTCATGCTGATCTCCTGGGGCTGAGGCAATGTGGCAGTCACACATGTGCAGCAGGTTATACTCACGCAGTGGTTACACACACACACACACAGAGCAGGTCACACATGTGCAGTGCGTTACACACACAACAGGTTACACTCATGCAGCAGGTTACATGCACAGCGGGCTACACACACGCACATGCAGCAGGTTACACACACACAGCACAGAGACAGGGCAGGCACATCACAAGCACAGAGCAAGTGCTGACTCTGGCTGCTGTTCAGGATGGGGAGTCTGGAATCCAGGGGAATTGTCCTGGAGTGGGCTCTGGGGTGGAATCCCAGGCCTGCCTCTGGGGTGGAATCCCAGGCCTGCCCCTGGGGTTCCGGGTGACCTGGAGCAAGGGACTTGGCCTATTCAGGACTAACGATAATGACCCCACCTCACGAGCGGGGCAGGATCACGAATTCTGTTCTGCGCAGGCTCAGGTGGAGCTGGCCACACCATGGGGGTGATGCATTGAATTCAGCTCCCTCACCCCCAAAGCCGGCTCCAGGTGGCTCATCACCGAACATGTCAGAAAGGATTAAAGATGCTGGCTGTGTCCTCTTCTGGAGCCCAGGAGCCTCCCAGCAAGCACCGGCATGAGGGTGGATACCAGGAAGAAGCCCAAGACAGTGGCCAGGACACTCAACCTCTAGGGTGCCGAGTGATGTTGCATGTTTACAGAAAACCCCGCCACGTGCGTGGCAGGAAGCTTCCCCGAGGAGAGGATGCACCCACACGATTGCGGAGAGCAGTCAGTCCTTTAATCAGGTCAGGCTCTGACACCTGGGGGCACAGGGCTCTGCCCACCCCACCCTGAGGTGGAACCCCTAGCTGCTGCTGCGCACAGGATCATTTACAAAAATAAATATGAAAAAAGCAGCAACTCTTTAGTGATCATGGAATTATCTGACAGCAATGAAATGTGTTTAAGCATCTGGCATATCTCCTAAATTGCACCAAAAGAATTTGGAAGCACTTGGTTTGGTCTCAAAGGCAAAAGGAAAGGACGAGGAAGGGGCCCGCCTCCCGCCAGGCCCCGCCGCCCTCACATTTCGGAATCTGCGTACATCCCGTTGATTAAGTAGTCCACCTGGGTGTAGTCCTTCTTCCTGTAGCTCTCATAGGCTTGCAGGGCAAACAAAACCAAAACTGTGATGAAAAGGGTCACCCCGAGTAAGAGCACCACCAGGAGGAACGTTTTGTCCACCACGGCCTGGGTGAGGGGCTCGGTAGTGACCACCAGGTACTGGCCTTGGGTGCTGGGCTGGCATGAGTCCGTGGCTGGCATCTTAGGGTCCCCTGAGCTCCTGGGTGTTGGTGCAGTGGAGTCAGTACCTGGTGGGGCTTTAGTCTCTACCTGCTCCGGTGCCTGGGGTGTGCGTGGCCCAGTGGCCCTTGGGGTAGATGGTGTGGGGCTTGGCTGTGTTGTGAGGGACGTGGCCTCCACCTTAGGGACTGGGCTAATGTGAGGTGCTGGCACTGTGCTGGTAGTTGACTCCTTGGCTTGTGGCTTGGGGGTGGTCACCACTACGGGGGACACCAAAGCCACAGAGTGGGTGGTAGTGGGCTCCAGAGTTGTGTTTGAGGGCGGTGTGGATCTATCTGTTGTGTTAACCATGGGCTGGTCCACTGACACCTGGCGAGTGGGAACTTGTGCTTGGGGATGTGTAGGGGGTGTAGGGCTTGCCGTGGTGTCACCGGTCATGTACTCGGAAGGACTGGGAGTGCTCATGGGGCTGCTCGTGTTTGCTCTGGTCACTACAGTCTGAGCACGCGTGGCCAATGTGGCCAGGACTGCTGCTCTTGGCGACGAGCTGTTACTTGGCACTTGTATGAGGGCTGTGCTGAGAGATGGGCGCCCAGCAGCGGTAGTAGATGGGGTCTGCCCTGTGAACAGGGACGTGGGCCCAGGCGGTGTGAGTGTCGTGGGAGCGCTGGAGGCCGCCGACCTGGAAGTGCTGGAAGCCGCAGTCGTGGGAGCGCTGGAGGCCGCAGACCTGGAAGTGCTGGAAGCCGCAGTCGTTGGAGCGCTGGAGGCCACACCATCAGCTGCACCTCCTGAAGTTCCTGGTTCACCCACATCTGTCCTGCTTGTGTCCTCTGGTGTGGTTTCTATAGAGTTGAGGTGGGCTGTGGAAGTCCCTGTGGTCAGCGTGACAGGAGAAGGTGCTGCCATGGTTATATCCATAGACATTTTATTATCAACTGTTTCCACAGATGCATTCCTCTTCACTAATCCATGCCACATCTTGTTAGGGACAAAGTTGCCTTAAAGTCAGAAAAAAGAGAAAAAGAGACAGAATCATGTTCAATCATGCGCAGGGGGACTGCTTGGGGATCAGCTTCCACCCTGCCCCGCAGGCTGGCTCTGTGGAGCCCCCTCCTCAGCCCAGCTGGAGTCAGGGGAGGTGACGCATGAATGTGCTTCCTCCCCATCTTTCTTCCCATGGTTGGCATGCAGCCCATTGAAAAAGCCCTTGTCAATATGATTTTAAAGCTTCTTTGCCCTCTCTGAACCCCCTGCCCGTTGAAGGCTTCAGAGCTACACTATTTGATCCAATGCCCAAAACATCAAAGTAAAAGTCTCACACAACAGGTGTGATTTACCACTAAAGGCCCACTGAACGCACACCAGGTTTACAAAGCAAAGAAATTGTCGCACAGATATTCACATCATAAAAGGATGTTTGGCTTTGTGAAAGGATTCACTGCAGGAATTCTTGGAAATGAATGGCACAGAGTGGGAACGCAGCTAAACATCTGATGTATGAAGAAACCAACTCCCCAGTGAAGATTCAATTTAGAGATGACATCAAATCTTGCAGGCCAAGCAAGCAAACCTTTCAGGGCTCAGCTGCCTGGTCCTGCTGGGGGGCTCCTTGCCCACCATGGCCCTGGAGAAGGAAGTTTGGCCTGACAACCCTTCCCTGCCCAGCACCTGGGAGGGCTGGGGTTCCTGACGCGTTGGCCTGGGTTTGCAGACGCTGCTTTCATGGGCTCAGCATGCTTTGTGGCTACCGTGGGCCCGTCCAGCAGTCACACAGCTTTCTCACTTACGTGGATCGTTGGATGCCGCATGGCTTTCAGATAAGGACAAGGAGAAAATCCAAATGAGCACAAGCGCTGTCCACATCTTGCGGGTGAGCTGGAAGCAAGGCTGGGCAGTCCCTGAGGCTCCCAGCCAGCCAGCTCCTCAGGCTGCTAATGGTTCCCTCCTGCTTGGCCAAGGGATCTGTGGTCAAGAAAGCATGCTGGTCAGAAGGCTTCTGGCCAGCAACACACAGCCTTGCCTGAGAGCACCTGCTGTGGAGGCTCTGGCAGGGTCCAAGGTGCAGACTGAGCCAAGTGCTGAGACCAGGGCTTGGTGCCAGGAAGACCTCAGGCATGGTGCAGTCATGATCTGCCCTGTGCTTTGCACCTGATCACTTCTTGACCCGATTTCACTGAGTCTCAACCTGCAAAAGTTCCCATTCTCCCATCCTAGAGTTCAGTGTTTAAAAGAGCAGGAGAGAGGGCTAAGACTTGGCTGTGTTCATAGGGTGAAGGCCTTCTCATCACCAAGACTGGTCAAGTCTTCCTCCTCAACTTCTCCTATGGTCTGCAGATTACAAATCAAGCCTAATGCACCACATGTGCACCCTGTGAGAGGTGATTGTGCCTTTCACCTGGGAGATACTATTTGGCCATCCATCCATCCATCCACCCACTATTCTATCCATCTACTCATCTGTCCCTACATAA